CACAAGCAGGGGGAGTAGGAGAGGGAGAAGCAGGCTTCCCGCTGAGCAGGGAGCCCGATGTGGGACTCGATCCCAGGACCCTGGGACCATGACCTGAGCTGAAGGCAGACACTTAACTACTGAGCCACCCAGGCGCCCCGAGGTGTCTTTTAGGAATTTTGTTTAATTGTATATTACTAACTTTGAAGAATATTCCTAATCCTTTTTGATCCCGAGATTCATTGAAATACTTCTATGTGTTAATTCTACTGTGTTTTTGCTAAAGAGAACACATTAAAAAATACTACAATCCTTGCCCTTAAAAAAAAAATCATTTCTCAAGTGTTTATAGTGTATAGGTAAGAAATCAGAGTGAAGTTCTAGTTATGTGAAGAACACTACTAATAAAACATTTCTTTCCTATATAAAAATGATGGTTTCCTAATGGTCGATTCCTGCCATTTTTGTTGAAGAATGGTTTTTTAAGCTTATTTTTTTTGCCTAGCGTATGCCGCATCTTTACCTGAGCTAGAAGTCTGATTTGTCCCACCATCTATGAGTTCAGTGCCACTGTGCTGTCAGCTATTTATTTGACCAGTCTTCCTAAAAGCTTGTCGTAAAGTCTGTCGTCTGTTCCAAGCAGTGGAGTAATCATCGCTTCAATGTCAGCCACCTTCTGTACTCCGCGGAAGTCTCCTGGCCACCAGGACTATTTGCTGATTGTATCGAATATCTTGTGTTTTCAGGAGATATCCTCGGTTCTTCCATCAATGGCTTAGCCTCATTGATTCGGATGCCTTATGGCTGTGGTGAACAGAACATGATAAATTTTGCTCCCAATATTTATGTTTTGGATTACCTGACTAAAAAGAGACAACTGACAGAAAACTTAAAAGAAAAAGCCCTTTCATTTATGAGGCAAGGTAAGCATTTTAGAAATATACTTTCATTTGTAAATTTCTTTTCTTCTTCTTTTTTTTTTTTTTTAGGGAGAGTCCACTCTAGACCGTATTTCAGTATAGACCGATTTGTCTTTGCTGTGCGATTGTAGGACTAGATGGTGTTGAAATGCGTTACAAGTACAAGTCGCCGGAAGCTGTCACCCTTCTTCCTGCAGCTAATTGTCACTAATTGCTGCCAACATGTTAAGGAGTTAGCGTCTAGAGGGGTTTGTATTTTAATAAGGGACGTGACATTTAAAGCTCCCGAAAAATCTAGAGGACTGAGTGTTCATTTATTCATCACACATTTATGGAGTATCTGTTGGTGCTGGCGTCAGCTCTGCGGCTGAGGAAACAGAGGACGTCAGGGCATTCCTTCTCAAGGAATTCCCTGTTCAGGGAAGACAGTCTGTACAGACACACTTGGGGCGTCATGGGGTGGGTACCTTCTCAGTGCATTTAAAGTGTCAGGTAGGTGGGAGGGCATCAGAAGATGCCACACTGGTGGTTACTGTCCCCTGACTCCTAGAGAGGCTGATACTGTTCACAGACACCAGATGCTTTGTGTCTGCACCTTGCAAATAACAACAGCTGTCATTAGCTGAGCGCTTATATGTACCAGGCAGTGTTCTAAGCACTTTATACCTAATGTCTCATTTAATGCTCGCAGTGTTAGTATTGCCCTCCTGTTTTTACAGATGAGGAAACTGAGACACAGGAAAGTTAATTAACTTGCCCGGGGTCACATAGCAAGTGAGTGGCAGAGCTGAGATTTGAACTCACTGCCTGACCCCAGAGCTCATGTGCTTAATGTCCATACTTAGACAAAAACAACAACATTTTTAATAATAATAACGTGTAAGTTTGATTTCCTCAAATACTCCAGAAGTCAGCCACCCAAAGTTACAGGCTCGGTTTTGCGCTTCCATGTTAGGGGACTTCTAGCAACATCTCTTTGTGGCTGAGTTTATCTGTCTACACAGTTTGGGAGACCTGCTGCCCCTCAAACTCATGAGGATTAGAATGGTTTATGCAAAATGCTAAAAAAAAAAACTACCCCTTGTTCAGTATAATCTAAAAATCAAGTCAACACTTCCCAACTCCTAAGTGTTTTATTTATTGGTATTTTTTTGGAAGGAATGGGTTAAATGCAAATCGAGGCAAGCTGTTAGTGGTTTTTGCTAACTTCTCCACAGTTAAGAATTAGAAAGCTTAAAGACACTATTTTGATGTGAGCTTTTCTTCCAGGTTCCCTCATTATGTAAGGACTTGTTTATCCTAAACTAAATTTTATGTTACAGTGGTAATAACTAACCCTGTTTAAAGGCTTTGAAAATGTTTTCATTTAGTTCTTTTCTTCCTTTCTTAAGATTACCTATTTATTTATTTATTTGAGAGAGAGAGAGAGAGTGCACACGAGCGAGTGTGCATGAGTGTGTGCACGATGGGTGGAGGGGCAGAGAGAGAGGGAGGTAGAATCTTAAGCAGACTCTGTGCTGAGCACGGAGCCCAACGCAGGGCTGGATTTCATGACCCTGAGTCATGACCTGAGCTGAAACCAAGAGTCAGATGCTTAACTGACTGTGCCACCCAGGCGCCCTATGTTTTCACTTAATTCTTACGAAAATCCTAGGAGATGGGTGTACTGATATTATTTCCATTTTACAGATGAGGAAACTGAGGCACAGGGAGGTTATATAACTTACCCATGATTACTCTCAGGTGATCTGGTTCTGGAATTCATGTTCTTCCTCAGATCGATATGGGATAAGTTTACTTTGCAACTTTGTTTTTAGGTTGTTAAAAGCCATAAGCTTAGGATGGAAAAGGTCCAGTAATTGGCCAAGATGATTGAACATGGCCAGTGTGCAAGAGGTCTCAGTGGGGCTTCTGATAAAATAGTAAGGGGGAGCATGGGCTCTTATAGGGAAGGAGACAGCAAAGGTTAGAATCTGGTGTCAGGTTAGACCACAGTGAGCTGTAAGATGTGGGATCCAAGAGGATGAGCTGGTGGGGGTCCAAAGCTCTCCCTAGGGTAGGCTGGCAGAGATAAGAGCTGGAAGGGAGGAAGGGGGTTGTGAGTCAGGAACCATGTGCTGCAGGAGAGGACAAACTGAGGGAGACCAGGGATTGGAGTCAGAGCTGAGTGTGAACTGAGTGTTGCTGTGGGGAGGGAGAGAGTGGTATATGTTCCCTCAGATTAGAGCCAGGCCCTGCATGACTGGGATGTGGTTAGGTCTTCAGGAAATTCTCAGAGATCTACCAATTGGTACTTTCCATACAGAGCTATTTAAGATTATCCTCCTTCATACATGTATTTGTGGATCAGTCATATTTAAACATATAAATACGAAAGCTGCTTTTTTCAAGTTCTTTTGTAATTAGGTTTAAGAAGTGGTATCGAGTGCTCTTGGTGGTACAGTGTATGCCATGCTAAAAAGAAAAATGAGATTTTACACATTGCCATAATGGTTATACTTAAGGAGATGAAAAATATTTGGAATTGTCTTAATTTAACTGCACCTTTTAAAAACAAGGTTCTGACTTGTATTCAAAATTCAGTGTGACTGGCTTCAAGTAGAAAGTAGGTAGGAACTATACTGTTGCTTTATAATTTGATACACATTCTTTGGGCTAATTTAATAAAATAAGGTAAAATATTTTAGAAAGTGCCCCATAATTCCATATTTTATATGCTTCATGAATTGTAATGTTGGCTAGTCAAATATCAGTGCTATAAAAAAAAAGAGAATGAATTTTCTAGTTTGAACCATTTAAGGACTCATAAAATGATAAAATCATCCCTTAAAGATAAGTAGAGTTGTGTTCTAGATACTTTGCTCTGGGTTAGCAGAGGTTCCTAAAAAATGAACGCTCCAAATCCTTGGTATCTTTTTTTTTTTTTTCCCCGCAAAAGGAGTGCTGGTCCCTCAGGCCAGCCATTAGCCAGGCTGAGCGCCAATCTGCAGTATTTTTAGCCAGGCTGAGCACCAATCTGCAGTATTTCAAAGCCGGTCTCGGCAGGGGGGTGGAGAGGTGAGGGGTGAGGGGGGCTGCATCTCCTTGATGCTTGGGAGCCTTCCTCACATGTGCTGGTTGTTAGAAGGTGCAGAGGGCCAGAGGGCAGAAAAAACATGGTTCTCTAAAGGCCACATAGTCTTGCAAGCTGCCATAGGCATGAAGAGCACTACTTCTGTGAGGTAGGCCAGCCCCACCTTGGGGGACAGAACCCCCTGGTTACAGCACCAGCTATGGAGGGGGTCACACCCGGGCTCTGAGTCCTACCTCCTGCTCTGGGCCTGTTTTCCCACCTGTAAGATAGGGGTAATAAAGTACCCACTTCGTGGGGGCTGTTTTGAAGATGAAATAAGATATTTTAGCACTTTAACACAGTAAATGCCTAATAACTGTTAGCTGTAGTGTATGCAGTTAGTTGCATCTGGCCGGGGACTTAGGGTTCACAGTTAGCAAGGAAACCCTGTCCATCTGCCTCAGAAACAAATGTGAGGTTCTTCTCTCTTTCCATTCCACTTGAACACTGTCATTGCTCAGCTGCACAACTCCAGTGGCTTCCTTTTAGAAAGCTCTGTGCTTCTCGGTCCACTCCCCTTCAATACAGGCTCCACATATAATAAAAGGGACATTTGTTTTTTAAGATTTTATTTATTTGTCAGAGAGAGAGCTCGAGCACAAGCAAGGGGAGCGGCAGGCAGAGGGAGAGGGAGAAGCAGGCTCCCCGCTGAGCAGGGAGCCCGATGTGGAACTTGATCCCAGGACGCTGAGATCATGACCTGAGTGGAAGGCAGACGCTTAACTGACTGAGCCACCCAGGCATTCCAATAAAAGGGATCTTTTGAAAATGTTAAAATCAGGTCACTTACTTGCTTAAAATTCTCTAATGGGTTCTGCAGTGGGTGACCTGGCCTTGGCCTCCATCTCTCACCTCACTGAGGCTGCCCTATCTTGGCTCCCCCTTGGCTCCATCTGGAGCACTCCCGGCTCCGTGGTGCTTCAGGGCTTAAACCTGCTCTTCCTTCTCCTGGGATCCTCCCATGGCTGGCTCCTTCTCATCGTTTAAGTGGTGTTTCCCTCAGAGTGGCCTTCCCTTCCCATTTAGGAGCTCTCATTTAATTTTCTTTTTTTTTAAAAAGATTTTATTTATTTATTTGACAGAGACACAGCGAGAGAGGGTACACAAGCAGGGGGAGTGGGAGAGGGAGAAGCAGGCTTCCTGCCAGGCAGGGAGTCTGGCGCGGGGCTCGATCCCAGGACTCTGGCATCATGACCTGAGCCGAAGGCAGACGCTTAGTGACCGAGCCACCCAGGAGCCCCAAGGAGCTCTCATTTCATTTTCTTTTTCTTTCACTTTTTTAAAAAAATATTTTATTTATTGGGTGCCTGGGTGGCTCAGATGGTTAAGCGTCTGCCTTCGGCTCAGGTCATGATCCCGGAGTCCTGGGATCGAGTCCTGCATCGGGCTCTCTGCTCTGTGGGAGGTCTGCTTCTCCCTCTGCCTCTCTCTCTCTCATGAATAAATAAATAAAATCTTTAAAAAAAAATATTTATTTATTTGACACAGAGAGAGAGAGCGAGCACAAGCAGGGGAAGTGGCAGGCAAAGGGAGAAGCAGGCTTCCCGCTGAGCAGGGAGCCCGATGCGGGGCTCGATCCCAGGACCCTGAGATCATGACCTGAGCCGAAGGCAGACACTTAACTGACTGAGCCACCCAGGCGCCCCTCATTTCATCTTCTTTACCACGCTTAACATTATTTAAAATTACCTCGTTTGCCTATTATGATGTATGTCTCCTGCACTAGAAGGTAAGCTCTGTGGCAGTCGGGGCTGTGTTTAATCTTTTCACCATTGCATCGCAATATAAGCACCTCCATGAACACAGACTGGATGAATGAATTACTGTCAATATTCATTTCTTTGGGCCTCCGCGTCATCATCCTAATGCGGGGGTTGGGCCCAGAACATCT